CTTGGGAGGTCAGAGGAAGCTCTAAGCCCCCAAATTTGTGGTTGTTAAAACGCAAATATCCTGGAGGCTGGTGTTGTGGAGCAGCAGGTAAAGCTGCCACCGGTGATGCTGGCAGCCTGTATTGGGTACTAGTTTATGTCTGGCTGCTCCATTTCCAATCCTCTTCTCTGCTAATAGCCTGGGAAAAGCAGCAGATGTGGCCAACCAAAATGTGGAATATTTCTCTCTCTGTCTCTCCCTCTCTCTCTGTAACTCTGACTTTCAAATAGATAAATATTTTTTTTTTTTTAAAGTCAAGTAGCTCACAAACTTTGAGTCATTCCTTTCAGATTGTGACACAAATGTTTTTTTAGTGCTTATACCATGCTATGTCCTGTTCTATATGATGTTCTGTGGGTGGAGGAAATAAGTGTGAATGAAACACAAACACAACCAAAAGGGGATTATGGTCTGGTTCAAGGAAACCCATAAATTCACAGGAGGATTTCTGTTGCTGATAAGCTCCAGGAGGAGATAATGCAGGATGTTGTGGTAAGTATGAGTGTATGGAGCTGAATATATCTCAGAGGCTCATCAGACTAGCTCTCATATATTGGGGAAAGTCTGAGCTGAGACCTCAGAGATATGAAAGAGTCAGTCTGAGCATATGAGAAGGGAAGAGCAAGCAGCAAGCTGTCAAGGCCTTAAGGCAGGAACAAGGCTGGCATGTTCACAGGCATAAAGTCGGATCCCATTTAAGCTTCTATAACAAAATATCACAGCCTGGGAAATTTCCTAAAGAGCAGAAATCTGTTTTCTAACAGCTGAGGAGCCTGTAAAGTCCAAGATCAAGGTGTAGGCAGGATTGGAGTCTGGCGAGGGCCCAGTCTATGCTTCCAAGATGGCGCCTTGAGCACTTCATCCTCTAGAGAGGAGGGACACTACAACTCACGTGGCAGAAGAGTGGACAGGCGAAGAGAGAGGGAGAACCTCCCCACAGTGAAGCCCTGTTTAAAGGCATGAAGCCCACTCACAAGGCCAGAGACCACAGCCCCATCACCCTCAAAAGTCCCACCTGTTAACACTGTTATAATGACAAAGAAATGTCAACATGAATTTTGGAGGGAACAAATATTCAAACCAGAGCTGTGGGCATGTTTAGGAGTTCCTATTTCTCTTTAGAAAGCCATCCTGGCTGAAGGTGGAGTAGGGGGGGAGGGCAGCAGAAGAGCTCAGAGAGGTGAAGGTCATGGTAAGAAGTGAGGTGCAATAGGAGGCCCCAGGGAGGTTGCATGCTACAGGGTGGCATGATCTAATTCACATTTTAAAAATGATCCCTTGGGTTCCTGTGTATACAGAGGCACAAAGGTGGGAAGTAGAGAGCAACAAGAGGGCTGTAGCTGTGATCTAGGTAAGAGAAGATGGAGATTTGTCATAGAGCAATGGGAGTGCACAGACAGGCAGGCTGACTAGTTGTGTTGATGGCTTGAGGGTGGGAGGTAGAGCAAAGGGAGGGGTCAAGAATGGCTCCTGAATTTTTGTTGGCAGTAACAGGGTGGGGACAGTTACTGAGATGGAGATATTCAGGCATTTGGTACTGGAGGTGGAGGTCCAGCATTCTGTGTGGGGTTTGTTAAACTTGGGATGACCACTAGACACGCAGATGGAGACCATGACTTCAGGAAGCCAAAGTGAGTTTAGGGCTAGACGTTGAAAATTAGAATTACAGAACTGGTAGGGAAATCCATGGGCTGCAAGAGAGAAAGGTAGCAAGGAGAAGACAGTCAAGGACTGAGCTGGCTGTGAGGCCACAGGTGATGCTAGCATCTGGAGAGGGCAAGCAAAGGAGGAGGGGATTGGGCTCTACAGCTGAGAACAATGACTGCAGTAGCTCTGCCCAGTGTTGTAGCCACAGCAAACGTTGTAGTGCCTTCCTCTGGCAGAGCTCCCCCACGTAGGTTGGTGATCATGGTGGATAATGTGGGCATTTAGCCCAGACCCTTGCTGATTCCCCACGACTGTTTTTGTATCCTGGGTATTAGCATCCATGTTCTGCTTCTAAAAATCAGTTCCTGTGACTTTTTCTAGAGGACCTACCCCAAGCCACTGGCGTCTCTACCCCAGGGCAGGAGTGCCTGGGTATCATGACCTCCCCCAGGGACTCTTAGCCAAGGAGTGAAGGCTGCCTGCTTGTGAGGGTCTGGCTTTCTTCTCTCAGGTTTAGACAGCTCTGGGGCATAATCTGCACTTTGGAGCTGCCTCTGCAGAATCAGACAAAAGCCACCCTCTGGAGAGTTTTGCCCTTAGATAGTGTTGGCCTTATCTGAGCCTTATTGGGAATATTTCCTGAATACACTGTCTGCTTTGGGCAACTTGACTTCCCTCCCCTTCATCACCCTCCATTCCACCCCACATACCACCTCCCCACTCATTTTGGATCTTAAATATTAGTGTAGTGTAAACTTTTTTGTTAATTTAAAATGACTTTAAATATTTTAAAGCATTCCTGGCCTCTTAAAGTTTTAGGAGAATAGTTTTCATTTTAGCAAGTGTCAGGTGGAAAGGGTTTTGTTTTTTATCCTAAAGGCAATTGTCTGTTCCTATTGATTCTGGTGAATTTGTTTGCTGTTTAATTAAGTGAAACATTTCCAGAGAGTTATCTGTATTCACTCTTCCAGCTCACAGGATACATGCTAATCTGAAACTGAGAAAACGATTAGATGATTATTTCCTGTTCACACACCAGGTCAATAAAATTATGGAGATTAAGCAAGGAAATAAGACAGGATGTTTAACAGGGGTTGATAGTGGTGAATGTGATCCCCTTCTAACCGGAAGCCTGCGAGCTTCTCCACACATTCGCATGTGCTTATTCCTGGGGTTTGCATTTCCTACTCCTGAATCTGTTTAGAGCTCTGGGTGAGCAGGAATTTGAAGTCAACGACAGGCCAGCATGTCTACATGAAATTTCCCTTCCATCCTTGAGGGAAAAGTAAAATTAGATTTTATTTATCTTGACTAGATTTCCGTTTATTTTAGAACTTTAGGGACCATTTTTATATCTATATTTAAAGCACTTGGAAAATCTTCTGCTTTTAAACACTAATTTGCAGAGCCTCCATTCTCCCTATCTTCCACCTTTCTCCTGTCTCCTTCCATCCTTTTCTTTTTCTGTTTCTTCTTTTTCTATTCTGTTAGAATAGAGCAGATGCTAAATTGAACCTCTACCTGAGCACCTCACAAAGCATTTTAAAATTCGTAAGTGGGTTTTTCTTTGTGATAAATTACATAGTTGTGATTGCCTCTTTTACCTTTAGCAGTTTTCCATCTGAGATTAGATTAGTAAGTGTTCAGTGAAATGTTTGCTGGATGAGGTGGTCTGTGGTATAAATCCTAGGAACAATGCTAGTGCATTAATGTTGTGCCTTTTCCTACTGTGCGCTTGCGGTGATACTTAGTTCCCAACTCTTAATTCCCCATCAGCTCTCTATCACATTCTTAAATCTTTAGATCAATCGTGCATTTTTAAAAATTTTTTTATTTTTGACAGGCTGAGTGGACAGAGAGAGAGAGACAGAGAGAAAGGTCTTCCTTTACCGTTGGTTCACCCTCCAATGGCCGCCGTGGCTGGTGCGCTGCGGCCGGCACATAGCGCTGATCCGAAGGCAGGAACCAGGTGCTTCTCCTGGTCTCCCATGGGGTGCAGGGCCCAAGCACTTGGGCCATCCTCCACTGCACTCCCGGGCCACAGCAGAGAGCTGGCCTGGAAGAGGAGCAACCGAGACAGAATCCGGCGCCCCGACTGGGACTAGAACCCGGTGTGCCTGCGCTGCTAGGTGGAGGATTAGCCCATTGAGCCGTGGCGCCGGCCCAATTGTGCATTTTACAAAGTTAAATTTCACAAGATTTTGTTGTAGTGAAACACCCAGTGGCACATTCCTTTTGCCTCTAAGTACCTCTGAAACACCTGGATTTTGACCATAGATTTCATAATACATTGAGGCATGCAATTATAAGACAATAATGCCTGCTTTTTCATGCCTGAACAACACACTGCAGTCAAACTATGGAACTGAAACATAGTTGGAATATTTATATCCAATCAAATTAAACCAGTAGCTTGTTTAATTTTGCATTTATTTTAAAGTATGGGTATCTTCAAATTTCTTTTTTGTTTCCATTCTAGAGATAATAACATTTGAATTTGAAATTAAGGAAGAGGAGCAAATAAGTTGCTCTCTGTCTTATTTTTGGAGTGAGGGTAGGAAATAGCATGAAAATTAAACCTAGGAAGGTGACCGTGAGGACTATGAGGACTGTGAGGATGCTGCAGAGTTTAATTCAGAATATAGAAACAACTGTATTCCCAGACTGGCCAGCCTCACTGTCGCTTGGTGGGTAAGCTCAGGGGCTGTGCGAGACTGGCCTGAGTTTTCCAGAAAAGCTTATGACTGGAGTTGACCTCTGTGGGGGTTCAGGTAGCAGCTTGCACACTGTAGGAATTCTGGAAGTACAGTGACATTTTGTGTGTCATCCTCAGCATAGAGTACTTATTTGCAAGTCGGGGCTTTTGTTGGGACTCCAGGCATGTGATCCATGGAGAAGGAGTTCTCTGAACTGGCAGCCTATGGTTAACACTTGTTGAGAAATTATAAGTGAGATGGCATAAAACATCAGTTGAGCTTCAGGTGTATTTGTAAGGTATATATATTTTGGAAATTCAAACTGTAACACCTTTTGACATATAGAGCAATACTTGTTGGGGCAATGGGTTGAAACAGTTGAATTAAGGATGACCCAGAAAATACAGGCTCCTGGACTGTGCCCTAAATATATTCAAAGTCCTTTGAATGATAAACAGTAAATGGTCTTTATAATAACAATTTATTATTATACTAGAAACAAATGTTAACAGTTGCATGTTAGAATAGATGTATAAAGTGAATTTTGTCTGTGTTAATTGAGAACATTTTGACACCCACGATCCAAATAAAGGTTTCTCCTGCATTTTACTTTGAAAGGAATGCGATGTTAATTCTGGGGTGCTGATGTTCTACAATGCCTGATCAAGACAGAAAGGTGAAGACCACAGACAAATCAGCTGATAAACAACAGCAAGGGACCACCACCAGGTAACCCCATGCTGAGTCTTTGGTAATTATTAACTGAGGCAGTGGCCACTGAAGGGACTTAATGGCTTTTCTGGGAAATGAAATAGACCCATGACAACTGCTACTCTGGGTTACAGTGTTTGCTGAAACACTGGATCATTTCTAGAGTTCTAAAGGAGATTGCTAGTACGTACGCATTTCAGTCTAAATGCAGGCCTCCACATGGCCATGCCATAGAGGGTAACATGAGCTTGTTCACCTGGGGAGCTTGTTCACCTGAATTGTTGGTTGACGTTGTGTTGTTCTTTCTCCTAGGGACTATTCAGATCTTAAAAGACTTGTGTGCCTTTTGAACGTTCAGTCGAGCAAACAACAGGTAGTGTTTTCAAAGAACACGCGTATGTTCATAAAATCAAAATCATGTGTTCCTGAACAGATCCATTTAATATCCTTAGAATGTGATATGTCTAGTTTCACCACTCTTTCACATCTTTTCTGTTTTCATCTGGCTAAATCTCACATCCTATGTCAGGCTCTGCCAAGACTTGGCCTCCACAGCCTTTTTGTTCTCTTGGGCACCCGGCTTTATCCTATGCTTTCCATCTCGTATCCTCAAATAGCAAAGCTTTCACCCTTCAGTCGATAAACAGTGCCCTCTTTTATGGATTGTCCAAGATTTGACTCTTCAAAGCTTTAGGAAGGTTAGTTCTTCTAAAGCATTGTTTACCGTATTTTTCTCCCCAGCCTCCTCCTAATGCTGCCCTTTGCTATTATACTTAGGCGTTGGGGTGTGCTGCACATTGTACCTCAGCAAAAAGGAGCCAGAGGGTTGAGCTCTGGCTATTTTTATAACAGCATTTTAATATTTTCTTCAGACATGGAAATAATGGTACTTCTGTCTGATTTTATCTACAAATTTTTCTTCTTGGTCTTGCTTTTGTAAGAATTTGGAAAGTTCTTGCAAAGTGTCCGGCGCGTAACAAATCTTCCCAGGGAGACGAATCAATTAATTCACAGGCTTTTATTGGGATTCCACTCCCAGGCGAGGTTCCCTGGTCCCAACAGAGCAGGGGCCCCAGAAGGCGGAGATTGGGAGGGCTCCTTTTATAGATTTAGGGCATGGGGGTTAAAGGTTGAGGTGGGTCTGATCCTCATTGGTTGACCTTTAGGCACCCGCGGGGACCCTGACAAGGACTTTTCTTCCCCGAAAGTACAGGTACGGACTCTCCATTCCCGGAAGTATAGGCCTTCCCTCCTTGTGGATCCCAAAGCTACCATTCCAAGATTAGAGGCTATCCAAGGAGATTTGGGAAACAGAGATATGTTAATAATAGTGGTAACAGCAAACACTTATTTAGCACTGTTAGTAAAGGACAGGGATGAGACTTGAACCCAGGTGGTCTGCCTCCAAAATATATTCCATTATACTTGTTTCAAAGCTCATGTGGTTGGTAAAACTAACTCTGATGGGTTTATAAACCCATTTGATTTGGTTTTATGTAAACCAAACATACCAGGGAATGATAGCATTTTTATCCATTTATTTATGTTGGAGAATGACTTTCTAATGACTTGATAATATATAAAGGCTAAATAATGATAATTCATATTTGGGGACCACTACCTTCATACCTCATATTTTACCTGCATTACTCTGCCTACTAATTACAACTTCTGCTTCTACAGACAAGGAAATTAAGGCACAGAGAAATTAAGTGGCCAGTATGAAATAGCCTGCTAAATTATAGTATGGACTATAGTTCTGAATGCTGATACCCAAGCGTTGCAATGTGTGCTTCTAATCACTGAGATATCTTTGAATAGTTTGGCAAATTAAATTGCAATTTAAAAAAATAGTTGGGTGATCACTGATGTGAAGTAAACATGTCTTAAAATATCTTTTCTCCTATGAATCTCTTCCTGTATATTTTTAATGCCATAAGTCTTCAAGAACTCTTGCCTTCTTATCTATTTCAGCAGTCACACTTCCCCTTCTGCCTATCTCTATACTGCTAAAATAATCTTGCTGACTTCCTGCTCTCAATCCTTCACGGATGATAGTCCATATCAAGTTCTTTCTTGGAGATGTAAGCAAGATGACTCAGCACACAGTTCTGGTAGTATTTCACATTCTTTCTCATTGTGTATTCTACAATGTAACCATAATATCAATGGCTTCTACATTTTGCTTTTACTATTCTAGATTTTTTTTACTTCTTCTAGATTTCTTTCCTATAAAAGTTTGCCTATTTCTTTTTTTTTAATATTTTATTTATTTATTTATTTATTTATTTATTTTTTGACAGGCAGAGTGGACAGTGAGAGAGAGAGACAGAGAGAAAGGTCTTCCTTTGCCATTGGTTCACCCTCCAATGGCCGCCGCGGCCGGCGCGCTGCGGCCAGCGCACCGCGCTGATCCGATGGCAGGAGCCAGGAGCCAGGTGCTTTTCCTGGTCTCCCATGGGGTGCAGGGCCCAAGCACCTGGGCCATCCTCCACTGTACTCCCTGGCCACAGCAGAGAGCCGGCCTGGAAGAGGGGCAACTGGGACAGAATCCGGCGCCCCAACCGGGACTAGAACCCGGTGTGCCGGCGCCGCTAGGCGGAGGATTAGCCTAGTGAGCCGCGGCGCCGGCCACTTTTTTTTTTTTTTAAAGATTTATTTACTTGAAAGTCAGAGTTACACAGAGAGAGAAGGAGAGGCAGAGAGAGAGGTCTTCTATCCGCTGGATCACTCCCCAGTTGGCTGCAAAGGCCGCAGCTGTGCCGATCTGAAGCCAGGAGCCAGGATCCTCTTCCGGGTCTCTCATGCGGGTACAGGGGCCCAAGGACTTGGGCCATCTTCCACTGCTTTACCAGGCCATCACAAAGAGCTGGATTGGAAGTGGAGCAGCTGGGACTTGAACTGGCAGCCATATGCCACAGCCCTGGCCCCAGTTGCCCATTTCTAGTCCCAGATCTAGTAACACCGCCTCTACATCTCCTCCATTCCACAAGTGACCTCTGTCTCCCAAAGCAGCTCCTTTCACCTGTCGCAGCCTTATCTTCTCCCTTGCTTTGGAAGCTCTTGTCTACATATTATTTGCTGACAGGATCATACATTTCCCAATGCCAGCAATTTTGACTTTTGCCTCTGGTTCACTGTTGCCTCTACGCAGCAAGTTCTTGGTCAGGTTTTGCTACATTGAATTATGACTTAAGAATTGGATCACCATAAGAGGAAGTGTAACCCCCGGCCAAGAAAGAAGAAACACAAATGCTGTTGTTTTGGCACTAATTTTCCAATTTTCAAGTTCATGCTAACTAAATCTAGTGTGTTCCCTTTCAACACCACTTCCTCATTAATATCTGACAAGCTTAAAGTTAATTTGATCATTTCCTACCCCTCACAACAAATTTTAGGATTTACAGTCCATTGCCTGACAAGTTCACGTTACAAATCTTTTTGTCAAATATTTCACATAAACAAAAGTGTGTATTTGCGATGGTTGAATTATTCAGAAAGTAGATGGTTCTAAACAAAAAGGAAAATAACTGTCCTCAATTAGGTGAAGGTTCTGAGATGGACAAAATTCATGCCTGTGTCTGTGTATAAAACTTTCATGTGTTTGTAATTCTGAAATGATAAATGCCAGTCTAAGCACCATATTCTCCTTGCTGTGAAATCATGTGGAGACATTTACAAGAGAAGGAAGGTGCTGGAGAAACTAACTTGAGAATTTATTTGTACCGTACTTGGTCCAGAAAGAATGTTGGAAGCTTCTAAATAACAAAGTACAGCCATTTATCATAAATTAAAACCAGGGCCAAAGAAAAGGAAAAAACAAGGGTTGACAGCAAAGTAGAGTTAGGGTCAGGCTGAAAGACCCAACAAAATATGCAAACAGGCCACATATTTGGTTGTTTTTCAGCTTTCAGTTTGAAAAGGGAACCCTGGGATTAAGTTTCACTCACCTGAATTTCTGCTCTAACAAGACATGGCCTGCTTTTTTTTTTTTTTTTTTTTTTTTTTGTAAATGGGCCAAGATGGCCAGTTACCAGTTATGGAGGAAATCTTCCTCATGGGTTTAGGAAGAAAATTGTAGAGAACTGAGTGTGCTTTCTCTGAATCTACTGAGCTCAGCCTTGGTCCTCATTGTTTCATTGTGTTCCAGCATTCCACTTTGGCTTCTGTCCTAAATTTAAGCCCTGTGTGTCTCTACATTTCTCTTTCTCTCTCTCTCTCTCCCTTCCTTCCTTCCTCCCTCCCTCTCTCTTTTCCTTTCCTTTCCTTTCCTTTCCTTTCCTTTCCTTTCCTTTCCTTTCCTTTCCTTTCCTTTCCTTTCCTTTCCTTTCCTTTCCTTTCCTTTCCTTTCCTCCCTCCCTTCTTCCCTCCCTCCCTTTCTCTCTCTCTCTGTCTTCCTTTCTTCCTCTCTCTCTCTCTTTTCTTCAGATTTATTTTATTTATTTGAAAGCCAGTGACACACCTACACACCCACATACACAGATCTTCATCTGCTGGTTCCCTCCCCAAATGGCTGTGATGGCCGCAGCTGGGCCAGGCTGAAGCCAGGATCCAGGAACTCCATTAGGGTCTCCCACATGGGTAGCAGGAGCGCAAGGACTTGGGCCATCTTCTGCTTTACCATTCACACTAGCAGAGAGCTGGATCAGAAGCAGAGCAGCCAGGACTTGAAACCATTGCTCTGATATGGGATGCCAGTGTTTCAAAGCACAGCTTAACCTACTGTGCCATAACACTGGCCACGTCTCTTCATTTCTTGCTTTACCACATTAGAGGTAGATGATGTTCTTCCCTTTCTTTCTTTCTTTTTTCTTTTTTTAAGATATTGTTTATTCATTTGAAAGTCAGAGGGAGAAAGAGCTCTTCCATCTGTTTATTCAATCTCCAGATGGCCGCAGCAGCCAAGGCTATGTCAGGCTGAAAACAGGAGCCAGGAGCTTCTTCCCGATCTTCCATGTAGGTGGCCGGGGCCTTGGGCCATCTTCTGCTGTTTTCCTAGGCCATTAGTAGGGAGCTGGATTGGAAGTGGAGCAATCGGGACATGAATCGGTGCCCACATGGGATGCCAGTGTTGCCAGTGGTGGCTTTACCCGCTACGCCACAATGCCAGCCCTGAGGCTGATGTTCTAATGTGGAACAACAGTCCCACAGTGGGACAGACAAGGGTCAGAGACACATGGAGCTGGAGATGCCTTCTTCAACATAAATAGGCTTAGAATAATCACAACCCAAGTTTGAATTGTTCAAATGCACATAAGGCTAAAAAACTTCCCTCCAAGTATTGCACTACTCATACCTCACAAATTTTAAAAAATGGTATTTCAATATCAAGTTAAAATAGTAACTACAGCTCAGTAAAACCAAGTAATTCAAGGAAAAGAATTGCCTTAGCGTTATTGAAACAGAATGAAATTATCATGCTAGTTGGAAATTTTGTTAGAAGTTTTCACAAATCTTGAAGATATCTGTCTAGAGCTGGCATTCATATCTCTCCTCCTACATTTAGAGTCACAGGAAATAGAAATTCTTTTAAAATAATAATAAAAAGCTGGAAGAAAAAATATTTCATGATGGGTCTGGTAATTGCCTTGAAATAAAAGAGGTCTTGAATACGTTTTAAAGATTTATTTATTTGAAAGGTAAGGCAAGGCAAGGCAAGAGAGAGAGAGAGAGAGATGAGAGAGAGAGAAATAGAGAGAGAGAGAATCTTCCATGCGCTAGTTTACTGCCCCAATGGCCACCACAGCCAGTTCTGGGCCAGGCTGAAGCCAGGAGGCAGGAGCTCCATTCAGGTCTTCCACATGAGTCACCCGGTGCTGCTTTCCCAGACACCTTGGCAGGTAGCTGGCTCAGAAGTGGAGCAGCTGGGACTCAAAGCAGTACTCTGATATGTGGTGCTGACATTAAAAGCAGAAGCTTAACCTGTTGCACAACAGTGCTGGCCCCCGTAAAAGGTTTTGATAGGTGCTGTAGAAAGACATCATATGAAAGGTCAGGAATAGACACAGATAACTGTGGTAGAAGGCAAGACATCATCCTGAATGAATGATACATGCAAGAGTGAGGAAGAGGCCACTATCAAGTAGGGAAACAGGGAAGGAGACATATCTTAAAAATAGGGGTGGTTTCTGGGGCCGGCGTTGTAGCGCAGTGGGGTAAAGCCCTGGCCTGAAGCGTTGGCATCCCATATGGGCGCCGCTTCTAGTCCCGGCTGCTCTTCTTCTGATCTAGCTCTCTGCTATGGCCTGGGAAAGCAGTAGAAGATGGCCCAAGTCCTTGGGCCCCTGCACTCACGTGGGAGACCCATAAGAAGCTCTTGGCTCCTGGCTTTGGATAGGCACAGTTCTGGCTGTTGCGGCCATTTGGGGAGTGAACTGGCAGATGGAAGACCTCTCTCTCTGTCTCTACCTCTCTCTGTAACTCTGCCTTTCAAATAAATAAAATAAATCTTTAAAAAAAATAGAGCTGGTTTCAGTTTCCATTGAAACCATTTCCAGTTCATTGATGGGAAAGGTAGCCTCGATGAAGAGTGAAATAATCAAATATCTGAAAGAAGAGAAAAACAAGCACTTAAAAGAAATGGTGAACGGACAATTTTATCAGAAGTGGTGGTAAATAAAGCTAGAAGATAGACTTCAGTGTCTGAAAGCTCATTTGTGAATTTTGTACTTGGTACTGTGATGGACAGGGAGTGTTGAGACTTCCAGGCAGAAGTATATGATCAAAATTGCAGGAAGGCTTTGCACTGATGCAGGTTTTGCTTCAACCTTGTCTTTCCTTTACACTTACATTAATCAGGCTACACAGATAACTTTCAGATTCGAGAGCACACATAGTTCTTTCTTCTCCGCCTTCCAATCTGTGTGACAGTCTACCTAAAATACTTGAGAATGCTCTTGACGTCCTGTCCACGGCCTGTCCTATCTCTCCCTTCTCTTTTCCACCAAAACAAATCCCTGTCACTGGTTTTGCAGCGTGTTACTTATGCTTGTTAATTGGCTGCGACTCCTACCTTTACATCCCACCAATGGGACTGCGAGCTCCTTGAAGACAGTGGTCATGATTACTACCTATCCAGTGTCCCACACTACATGTGTGATGATATATCTGCAACAAATGTGCTGAATGGGTGAACTTCTCTGGAGGTGCTTTGCCAAATGAATTAGCTTAGCAAAGAGACTGGGGACAAAGTGAGCACTCATTTGATAGCTTTGCATTTGGATATCTTATGCCAGGTGCTGTGAGAAGTACTAAGAAGGCACCTACATGGATGTGATGCTACTCTGAGCGTGGTCAAATTTAAGGGGAAAAATGTTGATGTGTAAGGTAGACATTGTAAAAGACCGTGGTGAGTGCCAGAAACATGATTAGGAGTTACGGTTTGCTCACAGAGGGTCTGAGGAACTGGAGAGGCCTGGGTTTGGACCTGGGCTCTGAACTGGCACTGCTTCTGTCTGAAGAGGTTGGTGCTTCTTAGTTCCTGATGTCAAGCTCATGGCCTTTGCAGCTGTGGATGGCCAACTCCATCAGTTGATTCTCAGTACATGCTGCCTGCCCTGCTCACAAAACCATGAGCTTGGTAGCTCTCTGCTCCTCTTCTTTGAGTGGCCTGGGCATGTTTTCACTGTGCTGCTGCCTTCTCTCCTGCAAACAGTATTCTGGGAATTGTGCTCCTGGCAAGGGGAAAGGAAGCCCCATGGGCTTGGAAAACCCACTTCTTGTTTTCTGTATTTCTATAACACTGGAAAATTTGCTTGTTGTGTGACTTCACATCCTATATCACTTGGGTGAACACTTTGCATTTACAAATCACCTAATTTGTAATGATATGTTTTGCTTGTTTACCAAATTTATGTGTGGAATGGGGATAATTCTGCAGTTTTAGTATTTATAAAGCACTTAGAACTATGCTTGGTGCCTAAACAGTGCTTTATAAATAATAACTCACTTAATTTTCATTGTAACTCAGTAGTGTATTCTTCTTTTTTCCATTTTAACAATGTGGAAACTGATGTACAGAGAGATTACATAAATTCTCCAAGACTGTGTAGCTAGGGTTTAAACACACAGAATCTGACCAGGGAATTTGTTTTCTTAATCACTCTCACTGCCTTCAGTGCCTGTGGCCTATTGCCTTGTTGTGGTTGACGATCAGCCGACTACACTGAGTTAGAAAGGTGGTTTCACAGATGGAAGATTTATTGTTAATATTTTAAGAATTTAATCTTGGCTGGTATCTTATGAATAAGGCTTTTTATTTTTTTGCTAACTACTCATAGTTAAATAATGTTTGTTTTATAATGTATTTTTCTATAACCAGAATACCTTATGGGAAGTCAAGCATATTCTCTTTGGAAAGGGAAATTATGTCTTTACATTGATTTCTTTCAAATACCTCAGTGAAATAATATAACAAGAATAACATAGCTGTACTGGGTATTTATATACACCAGAGTAATTTACTGAAAAATTCATCTTTTTTGTACATTTTGTTCTGCTTACCTCATCTGTCATACTTTAGCTAATTATAGAACAACTTTGATTTGTGCTTTGGAGAAAATAGCCTTTTAATCCAGATCATGCCCAATGTATGGGAAGCAAATCTTATCCCAATTAAAGATAAATACGGGTAAGTCAAATTATTTGAATACTGATAACTTGGCTATTTTATGAATAATTAACCATTTCATATCATAAAGGAAGACATTGTCAAGTTGTTATAGTTAAACAAATTTTTATTTTTTCTATGGTAAATTCTATGATATGTTCTAATGACTTGGATTGAAAAATAAGAAAGTTCAGACTGACTAAAAGTGATAGAATCTTCTTTATTGTTACATCCGTAACAACTGGCAAGCAGTGTGTATACCTGATAAATGTTGAAGAATGATTGATTGAGTGATGATTCATGCTCAATGTGGGCACTTCACTCTATTCCAGAGCTTTCTACCTGGATCCAGAAACTCTCTGGTTGCACTTTTGAATCACAAAAGTAGCTTCAAAAACTGCTGATGCCCAGGCCTCCTGCTCCCCCACCCCGCCCACTCAGAGCTGGGTCCTCAGCAATGCTTTAAGTGCTGGGGAATCAAAACTGAGCCCAAACCAGGCAAATTTCTGCCGGTGTCATGGTCACGTTATAATAGAAGAAAACTGATAACATGCGAATCACCCTCAGGGATGACAGGTGGTGTGATAAACTATGGCGCAAAATACAGCATCATGAAGTAGAGATTATAAATGTTAGAGATGCTTCAGTCTTTGAAAAAACTGTTACATTAGACATAACTATCATCTTAATTACTGGTCTGGGAAAAAACCCAGGTGTTCTTTTCACTTTTCCCTCTCCCTCGCCCCGTTTTGTTACTTTCTTTATGCAATGCTGGATTGAGTCCTCATGTGCTTTGTTTTTCCATTTCTGTAGCTTCCAGCCATTAATTTCGATAGTGCCCAAAATAGCATGACAAGGTCTGAGCCCACCATCAAGGTGGGTGGACACAGAGCCCGAGGCCAGTGGCACGAGTCCACAGAAGCTGTTGAACTTGAAAATTTTAGGTAAGAAATCCAGTGTCTCCCTTGCCATCAGCAACCTATTCTCATTAGAACAAAATTTTAGGTTTATCATGGGCTGAAACTTAAAACCTGCTTCAAAATTTGCCGTGGGTTTTCCTAATTTAGTAACTTCAGTTAGTACTTGAATCATTCCCAGAAATTATGTGCAAATAACAGGCTTAATGGTCACAGGTGGAGCTGACCTGGGAGTTGTAGGACACTGTGCTGACATACACTTGGCATTTGCTCAATGAGGAAGTGGTTCCAGGTTGTTGGCCTGGATCGGCCGACTCCCAGCTTTGTCTTAGCATTTGGTCTGTTTGCTTCTTTGCAGGTAATGGGAAGGCATAAAGGAAGTTGATGCTGTGAGCAGATGTGGTGGTTAAAGACAGTCTTTGTCAAAACAATGGCGTTTTTCAGTTGCAGGGAGATCACCTCACCTTTAACACTGAAAGCCTCAGCCCATGTTTGTTTCCCTGCAGACCTCCTGGAATTACACATCCTTTGGATCACTCCCCTGCCAGGAGCTGATTCTTCTAGTTTGATAGTGGCTTAGGTCACATGGCACTAAGTGCCATGTAAATAATGAGTGCTGTGAAATATCAGTATGAATATTCTAGAAGTGTCATGCATTTATTTGGGCTACATGTATTTTCCCTATCATATCACAATGAATTTTAATAGTCCAGAAAAGTCACATGACATTAAAGGGGTTTATATTGTTATTTTACTTTATTAATTTTTTTGAGAAAGAGAGAGAGAGAACATGCTCCCATCTGCTAATTCACTTCCCAAATGCCCATATTGGGTGGAGACTGGGAACACTGTCAAGGTCTCCCACACGTGTGACAAGAACTCAATTACTTTAGTAATACTGTTGCTTCGTAGGGTCTGCCTTAGCAGAAAGCTTGAACTGGGAGCTGGAGCTGGATAATTGAACCCAGGCATTCCAATGTGAAAAGAGGGTATCCTAATTGGTATCTTAACTGCTAGGCCAAATGCTCACTCACCAGGGATACATATTTTTATTTATTTATTGACAGGCAGAGTTAGACAGTGAGAGAGAGAGACATAGAGAAAGGTCTTGCTTCCGTTGGTTCACCCCCAAAATAGCCATTATGGCTGGCGTGCTGTGCCGATCCGAAGCCAGGAGCCAGCTGCTTCCTCCTGGTCTCCCATGTGGGTGCAGGGGCCCAAGCACTTGGACCATCCTCCACTGCCTTCCCAGGTCACAGCAGAGAGCTGGACTGGAAGAGGAGCAACCGGGACAGAATCCGGCGCCCCAACCAGGACTAGAACCCAGGGTGCCGGTGCCACAGGCGGAGGATTAGCCTAGTGAGCTGCGGCGCCGGCCCAGGGATACATATTTTTAAAATATATTTTCAAAGAGGAATACAAAATACTTTCAAAATTCTTACATATTTTAGTTGCCTGTGATAAAAAACCGGTTACAACCCTCACCTGGCTAGAGTGGGAACGTGCCATTCAGTGGCACCTGTAAGACTGCGATGAACCCTACAGATGGCAGCATAAAGTGTGTGTGGGGGCTGCATTTGGTGCACACTGCTCAGGGCCCCTGCGTCCCATATTGTAGTGCCTTGTTGTCATTGCAGCAGCTCTGCTTCTGATCTAGCGTTTCTGCCAATGTGCATCCTGGGAGGCAGTGAAAGATGGCTTGAGGACTGGGGTCTCTGCCACTCACATGGAAGACCTGGACCCCTGGCTTCAGCCTGGCCCGGATCTGCTGTTACGGGTATCTGGGGAGTGAGCAAGCGGGTGGAAGATCACTCTCCATCTTCCTCTGCCTCTTTGCCTTTCAAATAAAAATGAAAATAAGTTAATGAAAACAAACGGCAACACAAGAACTTGCCTTTGAAGTAGTATAGTCATCATCTACCTGTCTCCTATCTACCTGCCTATCTATCTATTATTTGATCTACTTCTTAAAATTATTCTATTTTAATATACACAAAATATTATATCATATACAGGCTGAATATCCCTTATCTGAAATGCTTGGAACCAGAAAAGTCTTTCATATTTTGGAGATTTTCAGATTTTGGAATGTTAGTATAGACTGACAATTGACTATCCCTCATCTAAAAATAGAACATCTGAAATCTTCCAAAATCTGGCACTCAAAAATTTCAGAATTTGAAGTGTTCAAATTTTTAGATTCAGGGTGCTCAAATTATATTCTGTAACAATGAGACCTTTTGTATATTGTCTTTTATCCTCTCCTTTTTTTAGAGCCTTTGTAAACCAAATTCTCTTGTTTTATTTATTTATTTTGAGAGACAGAAAGAGACAGACAGAGGGAGGGAGAGAGATCCCATCAGCTGGTTTACTACTTAAATATGTACAAAGGCCTGGGCTAGGTTGGCTCGAATATGGGAACCAAGAGCTCAATCCAAGTCTCCCACATGGGTGATAGGAATCCAATCACTTGAGCCATCACCACTGTTTTTCAAAGTCTGTATTAGCAGAAAGCTGGAGTCAGGAGCTAGAAGTGGATACTGAGCCCAGGCCTTGCGAAATGAAATGCGGGCATCTCAAATGGGCTTCTTAACCACGAGGCCAAATGCTCATCTTCCTCCTTTTTAACCCATTTGGTGTGTTGTAGTATCAGCAAGAAGCTGAGAGTAGAATAAAACTTTAATACACACACACAACATAGTCAACAGCAACAGTCAATCAACATGCCTGAAGGAATGTAGACTGTGTCTACGAAATTCATATTACTTCCAAGGAAATATATGTGCTAACCCCTGGTGTTGATACCTAGAGCAGCCAGTGGGATCAAGACTGGGTGGAAAAGGAAAGGAATTTTTCTCTGCCTATTGCCTAGCTGTCCAGATAATGTGCCCCTGTCGTTCCCTCTCTCCTTATACCCCTTTCTTCTTTCCAACAATTTTAACAGTTAACTGTATATGGGGAATAATTTAACTGATCTGGCAAAATGACATACATATGCTTGACTATAACATTATGAATGTCATACTTGAATTTCTAGTTCCTCAATTAACAGTCGATACTTGCCTTTGGTAATATGAGAAACCCTAATATTCCTTCAATATTTGAATAAAGATGATTTTTATCTACACTGGTAACTTTGAAGCAGCCTAAACAATTTTTACTACAAAATATTTTTCTGCTTGTTTCACCTCAGTATAAACTACAAGAATGAGAGAAATTTCAGCAAACATCCCCAGCACAAACTATTTCAGGAAATCTTCACAGCATTGGTGAAAAATAGACTCATTTGCAGGTAAGGTCGTCGCTGAAAAGACAACAGATGTTCACACAAGAATGACATAGTTTGTATATTTTGTATACAAAATGTGACTTGAAGCAGTTTACAAGGTTGTATACCATGTAATTACAGAATAAAATAGAACAAAGGTAGTTTAGGAGGTGAATAAGTAGGCCTTGCATTGCATCTGTCACTCTGGTTAGGTACTGCAGTTTATGATAGATGAAGTAAAATGAGTAAACATTCAGTTACATTGTCTTATTTTGAGTTTGTATACTCAAGGAGGGGTTTACTGTGTGGGTTCTTATGAAAGAGACTTTGGCCAACCCCAAGGACACCATTCTTATGGTACACCGTTCTCATTTTGTAGTAGATACAATGATTGATTAAATGGGCTGCCCTGTCCTTGGCCTCGAAGAAAGGAAGGATGAGTGTGTAACATCCAGTCACAGCCTCATTAGGAAGTTTCTTCTGAGGACAGATCAGATATTCCCAGTTTTGCTCTGTGGCCTGTCCTAGCACAGGTGTATGTGGAGCTGTAACACTGATCTTTGGGATAGGATCCATTCTTACTGCATATTTAAGCACTGGGCAGTAACTGCCAAATAGATTAGTTTAAGATGGTATAGGATGGGACTGTAGCTGTCATGCTGTTGTGCTTGGTTTAAGCAGGAGATTATTAGATTTACCTGGATGATACAAGAAGCCTAAGATCTTCACTAGGGTTATGAACTTGAGGTTACTGCTCACCTTTTGACCGCACACTATAAGGTTGTTGAACCATTACTGCACACCATCAAGAATCTGAAGTTGTCCTTGATTGTTTTCTTCTTGAGCTTTAACCAGGTAGAATAATATGAGTAGCAAAATAATTCTGCACAAAATGGTATTAGGAATAAATGTTCTTTATTTAAAAAAAAAAGCAACTAACATGGTCATTTGTAGGTCAGTACTTTGGGAAAGTGTTAGATGCAGAAACTGTTAGGAAAACAGTCAGGCAAGGGTTGACATCAACCAACTGAAAAATATCTTAACAATGCTAAAGTCAAGAGATCTCTTTTCAGGTTCTTAGTGATTAATGAGGTATCTTGTAACGTGAGCAGTCCCTGGAAATCTTCAAACCAGGAAGAGATAATTGTAGATCTCTGTGCTTTCACAGTAGGAGAAGGAATTCAGGAATGTTGAACATCAAGAGCATCCTTTTATGTCATCCTTTGTCTGTTGACAGATTGCTATGCTCAGTTCTGTTCTAAAAACAGGGTTGGTATAAAGGATGGCTTAAGTATAAAGGTCTTACATTGTCCCTCACCCCATATAACCTTAGTAAGATGACTAAGACCCCATTTCTTCTCATTCCCCTTTAATTTTAAATTCACGGAAGAATTACATCTCAAGACCGTTTCTACTATGGCCTCTTGTCCCTTCTCTTTGGAACATCAGATTTAGTGTTGAGTGGAAACTTGGATTCAATTTAATAGGCAAGTTCGTGAGCACCTACTATGTATAAGGAAGGGAGGAAGCAAAAGATAGAGGAAGGAAGAGGAGGTAAAATGCAAAGATAATTGGGACATGCAGTCCCCTTCTTCTTGGGGATTCAAAGTCTACTTTTGTCAGCAAAACAGCTACCCATCATTCTAACACAAGGGGAAACATAGTAAATATATATTGTATTTAGATGACTAAAGACTGCACGGGATTAGGAAGTGGGAACATTGATCTTTGGTCCAATCCTGGTTGTAGACAAGATTGGGCATATTCAAGGCGTATGTTATAGCACTCAATTTTACCCTAAAAATAGGATTTCTGGGGAATTTAATTTCATCTGTGAAGTGTGATCCCCTCCACCTCCTCTCTCAATTTCTGCCCCATTAATGTGATGCTGTTGCTCTTCTATCTCACTCTCCTCATCTGCAGTCTTCCCCAAAGCTTGTAGATACCTCCTGTCTGTCTTCTTTGCCTGAGAGTGACCTGTGATCACTGTCCCATTCTCAGAAATGGAATTGCCCCGTGGAGTCTGGAATTAGATAGTACTTGTTAATCCAGAGTCAGATAAGGTAACACTGCAAATACCTCAAGGTAAATCTCAAAGGTCAAGGGAAAACATCCACTCTGAACCTGAGATTACTCCTAGTTACACAATATTCACTTATTTGGATAGAAATAAATTTTGGTCCTCCAGTCTTTCTTTTTTCTATAACTTTATTTGTCTATAGTAGCTTCTGATATTAGAAAATAAATTCACTCCTTTCCCATCTCACTGGCTCTGACAGGGAAGTATAAAGGTACTTGGTATCCAAGACCAGGTTGTTAGGAGATTGAGTAGAAAAGTGAGTTGTCACTATGCTGAATATAGCTGAGCATTTATAAAATTGACCTCTACTGAAATTTCTCTTGTGGTGTGTTTGCTCCTCTGGGCTCCCACTTTTTTGGGTCATACCTTACTGATACAAAGATTCTATGATACAGTACAATTTACTCATGAAATGAATTTGCAAATCTGGTTGAAGATATGAGATTTCATGAAGTTATCAAAAGTGATGATGCTGTACAGGTAGGATCTGACAATTGAGGCTTTGTCAGAATTAGGGAAGTTAGCAGCTGAATAACAGAGTGTCAGTCAGGAGGCTGACAAGATGAGACTTTAAGAGTATGCTTTGAATAACAGAGATAAGAAATTACTGGGAAAAAATTATGAATCCTAAAATATTCACAAAAATGCACCTCTTCATCCTGCAAAAATCAAAAGTGAATTAAAGGAGGTTGAATAATGCTATGTTTCTTATTAAAAGAAAAAAATTGCCAAAAGTGTCAGCAGAATTTATTCTTTGTTTTAGTTTCTAGGGAAGTGTAAAATTTTACATTTGCAATTGTAAAATGTAAGATAAAATACATCTTAGTTTCATAATTAAAGGTAATATTTTCTTTTCCCCCATCTTTAATATGACATTTGGTATTATTTTAAAGTGGATTTGGTTATCTGGCCTTTTTCTGGTGCTGTTGTCCTAGAACACCCAGGATCTCTCTCTTCCGTTGCCTTTGCCTATAAATTTTGTAGAGGTGAGCAAGTCCTTGCTACTTTCTTTTTAGTTAGAGACCCATCTGATCCATTTAGTGTGACCTTATTTGCCCAAAAACTCTCTCATTTTTCTGAAAAGGAAAAAATTACTATCCTTACTGTGTCCAATTTCCTGAAATATCTGCTACACATTTGAAATATTTTGGAAATGAGTTATTAGGAAGACTAGATGAGGAATGTGTTTACACTATGTATAAGAGGGGACTCCTTGAACTAGAGAGCAACATCTGGCCAAGCCATCACAGTCTTCTTCAAAATTGCTACAAAAAGTGCTCTGGGAACTTTCTAGAAACTTTGAACCAAGACGACTGGTATGGTTATCAGACTGCCAATGTCCCTGTCTACTCCTGACCATGATGGAAGTGGCTGTTTTCCTTTTGAGCTCCACCTGGTCCTCAGTGCTGACTGTCCAGACACCGTTACAGAGGGAGGTGAGATGGGAAGACCAGAGTTAGGATGTGGGAAGGAAGTCTTTGGTGTTTTGAACCAATTCTTGAGAATCATGAAGCTTACGGAGAGATGCTTTTCAGTGATTTCATCTCATCAGAGAGGCCAGCAGTTACCTTTGAAGGTTTCCTAGGAAAGGAGAGGCCTAGTCCCCCTGGTAAAGTCTGTTAGATAGTGCAGAACCTCCCTAAAGGGAGAGCCTCCAGTCATTACCGTAAACTAGATGCAGATGAAGTTTTAGTAAGGCCCCCAAAGTCTCAGGGTTGTATTTGTGTGCCTAAGCATCTTCTATTGGCCAGTTCCCCAGTGGTTCACAAAAGTTCTTTGAGATCTTGTTGCTTCTCAGCCTCTTCTCTTGATCTTGTCCACTGCATCTCCTCAGCTCTTTGAGGTCACAATGAAATACATTTCCCTTTTATCACAAGGCCCATCTCTGTGGTGCACTTCTTCTTTCCTCTCCCCTCCTAAAACCCCTGAGCTATTTTATTCCTCTGGTATACCGTGAGCTCCTGGACAACACATCCTGGATTTTTTATCCTCGCCTCAAGTCATTGATATTGGTTTTATTGGAGAACATTGAGTCTGAGGTTTTTCATTTAGAATTTTTTGTATTAAATTATTTGTAAAACGTGAAAAATTTGGAAAAATATAAAAAATAAAAAATTGTCCTTCACATTGCCTTTAGAAATAGCTATGTTAACCTTAACTATATTCCCTTCTAATATTTTTAACTTCTATGCTTTTACTTTATTTGATGGACTTATGCAAATATGAAAATGTATTCTGCTATAAAGTGGAATTTTTCAAACGTTTTTAGTTACGTGTTTGTTTATTTGAATAAGATAGTGGTAGGGGTGTAGAGAGAGAGAACTCTCATTTTCTGGTTTACTCACCAAATGCCCACGGCAGCCAGAATTGAGCTGACCAAAGCCAGGACCCAAGAACTCAATCTGGGTCTCCCATGTGGGTGGCAGGGACCCAAATACTTGAGCTATCATATGCTGCCTCTCAGGGTGCACACTAGCAGAAAGTTGAAATAAGGAGTGGATTCTGAACCTGTACATTGGCATTCCGATATGAGATGCAGGAGTCTCAAGAGTTTTTTTTTTTTTTAACTTCTACACCAAACACCTGTTGCCTAGAGTTGAATTTTCAAAAGAGTTAGATCATTGATTGAGCATCTTTTAGGACTGGGTATTTTTTGTCTCTCTTTTACTCTCAATTTCACAACTTTGAATGAAGGAAATAAGTTGCAAGAACCTAGGAACTCAATCCTCAAGCAAATGATGATTCCTCTACTTCTGATCACCTTGCTGTGAGTGAATATTTGGTATGTTTTTTATTTCTCATGAGGTATTATTTAGGATTTATTCCACACTGAAAAATGCACACAAAACACACACACACACACACACACACATACACTTGTGCAAAAAAAAAATCATGAAATTGTAGAAGTGGAATTGTCTCTGAAGAAAGTCTAGTTCAGTTT